AAAAAATGCCAAAAGCCAAAAACAGCCGCTGTCCAAACGTCCCGTGTGCATGAGGACTTAAAACTAACACTAGTTCTTTGTCATACTTTTACCAGCCTTACAAGCAAGAATACTTTTCTTTCCTGTGATTTGTCCTGCTTATAATAACACTAAATCTACATTTCTGTTACAAAATGTGATCTATAGTAAAAAAAAAAGAACAAATTAAAATTATTCTGCAAAACAATGTTACCAAAAGTTTTTTTTTTTCCAAAAAAAATACATATGTATTACTTTGTTATCTTCACATCAAAGCCAGCTGGATACCCACACAGAAGAAAAATATATATTAAATATATTTTAAAAATATTCTTCCCAAATATATTGACATATATTTGAAACACTACAATTTTGGCCGTATTCAATTTATTAAAAAAAAAAAAAAAAAAAAAAATATATATATATATATATATATATATATACTGCATGTTGAAATGTGTTTTTTATATGTTACAAAATATATTAAAAACATTTTTAACCTCTTGCCGTCCGCCTGCTGTTTATAAACGGCAGGGCGGTGGCACTCCAGGGGTGGGTTGCCATTCCTAAACGGCACCCGCCTTTTCTAGCTGTGCGCGCTCCCTGGGAGCGCGCACCACCGCGATCCGGTGCCCGCTGTGTCCTCCGGACACAGTGAAACACCGATCGTCGGACGGGACCTCTGTACGAGGTCCCGATCAAGTGATCACTGATTGGCGAATCAGTGATCACATGCAAAGTAGTAAGCAAGATGTCACTTGTGACATCATTGCTTACTACGTGTGAAATCTGTGAATGATCACAGAGGTCACATGGTACAGGGCAATTCACAACAGCCTTGTACCATGTGACAAGCTGTGACCAATCACAGCTCACTCAGTATTTCTCAATGACTGCAAGAATGCAGACAGAGAGAAAGAGAAATTATTGCTTTTACATCCTATATGGGTGTAAAAGCAATCAGTGTAAAAAAAAAATAAAAAATCTTCATCACCCCCCACAAGTAGTACAGTGTCACCATGGTGACACTGTACTGCTAGGGTGACAGTATGTAAAAAAAAAAATAAAAATAAAAAATAATAATATAAAAAAAATAAAATAAAAATGTAATAAAAAATGTTTAAAAATTATAATTTTTGGTTATAAACTAATTTGGATTTTTTTTTTTACTAAAAAAATAACGGAATCAATTTTGGCCAACATTTATGATGAAATATTATTTATTTGCAAAATTTTATTAAAAAAACCCACTTTTTTTCAAAATTTTGGGACTTTTTCATTTACATAGTAAAAAAAAATAAAAATCCCAGCGGTGAATAAATACCACCAAAATAAAGCTTTATCTGTCTCAAAAAAATGGTAAAAAATTCATATGGGTACAGTGTTGCATCACCGCGCAATTGTCATTCAAAGTGTGATAGCGCTGAAAGCTGAAAATTGCCCTGGACAGGAAGGGGGTAAAAGTGTCCGGACAGGAAGTGGTTAAAAAATATTTTTTATATATATTCAGATTTCTTTTAGCATATAAAAAAGTCATTTTAACACATATTTTACATATATTTGTAAATGCATTCCAAAAATGTAGATTCAATGTATTTTTTTCTTTTCAAATCTTTTTTATTAAATTTTCGTAAAACAATTACAATAACAAAGATAGTTCAGGGTAGAAATAATACGTAGACATGTCTCAGCACCGTGGCGCTAATACACTCTTAGATCTAGAATAGCAGTTATATAATTGCCCTTAGGCCTACAATTGTATATATATTAGAAAAGGTCAGTGTTTGCATTACCAGTTACCAGACTAATTGACCCTTAGGGCATATATATAGGGCATAGACTGGATGTCGCTCCACTTCCTTAAACTGAACCTCTCCAAAACCGAGTTTCTTGTCTTCCCCCCCCAACCCGGACCCCACCCCATTGACTTCTCCATCACATCCAACAACGCCACCATCAAACCCGCCCCGCAGGCCAGAGTACTTGGTGTCATTCTGGACTCCATCCTATCCTTCCAGCCCCAAGTCCAACCTTTAACAAACTCGTGCAGACTCCACCTCCGCAACATCGCCAAAATCCGCACTTTCCTAACCCCAGAAACCACTAAACAGCTCATCCACTCCCTCATCGTATCACGACTTGACTACTGCAACTCCCTCCTCACTGGCCTGCCTCGCCGCTGGCTATCCCCGCTTCAGTCGATCCTGAATACGGCTGCCAGACTCATTCACCTTTCCAACCTCTCCGTTTCCGCCACCCCCCTCTGCCAATCCCTCCACTGGCCTCCACTCAGTGTCCTCCACCACCCTCTGCCAATCCCTCCACTGGCTTCCGATTGCACAACGGATCAAATTCAAATCCTAACACTGACGTACAAAGCCGTCCACCATACTGCCCTGAACTACATCACCGACCTAATATCCAAGTACCATCCAGAATGCACACTCCGCTCCTCACAAGACCTCCTTCTCTCTAGTTCCCTGGTCTCCTCCTCCCATGCCCGCCTCCAGGACTTCTCCAGGGTGTCACCCATCCTCTGGAACTCCCTGCCCCAACCCATCATATTATCACCTACTCTCCTCTCCTTTAGGTGCACCCTGAAAACCCATCTCTTCAGGGAAGCCTACCCCACCCCCTGCTAACTTGCCGACCTCCTCCACTCTTCCTACCACTCCATCCCCCACAGCTATCTCCTCCTGTGCCACCACCCCTTCCCTCCTAGATTGTAAGCTCGAAAGAGCAGGGCCCTCAATCCCCTCATGTTTTGCATTGTATTGGTATTGTTCTGTCACATGTTCTGTTCCGCGTTGAACGAACCATTGGCGCTTTATAAATACTGTATAATAATAATAATATATAGACATAAATACCTCAAAATAAGTAAGAAGGGAGGACAAAGAAATAAATAAAGAAACCGATATAAAGAGATGAGACTAGAGCACAGATGCAACCAAAGAGACAATATGATATACAAAGCTGTATACTAGAAAAGGAAGTAGACCTCTACTTGGGATAGTATTTCCTATTTCAATAAAAGTGCTGTAACCTAAGTCTTGTAAAGGTTTGGTGTTGAGATTAGGAATAAAGTATTCATACGCTGATAGTGGTATGTCTATATGAATCTTAGGGGAGGAGGAGTTTAGTTTATGTACGCCATACATCCATGCCTCAAGAGATGCAGTGATAGATGGAGGAAACATATTAAGGAGTTTGAATTTGGTAGATTTAGCTAACAATAGGGCCCTAAGGTCTCTATTGGGGACTACAGATTTCTTAATTTGTACCCATAATTTGTCTGATGTGGTGAAGTTGGTCCAAAATAGATGCGTAATAATACGGGGAGAGCACTGGAAGACCGATCCCCACTTTAGATTTAGGTTTGGTGAGGGCCAGGAACGGAAATTCTCGGTTTCTTCCCCTGCCAGATATAGGTTCTAAGTATCGCCTCTAATTTATTGAAGTAATCATGAGAGACAACAATCGGAATAGTTGGAAAGTAGTACAATATTTTGGGAAGAATCAGCATCTTAAAAGCCGCTATTCTACTTATCCATGAGATTTCAAATTTATCGAGTCTCTGTAGTTCCACTAAAACTGATTGGTATAATTTTTCGTAGTTATCTCTAAAGGTGTTAGAAGCTGGAGAAGATATACAGATACCAAGTCTAGTTTTTTATGGGTCCAACTGTAGGGGAATTTAGCTTTGAGCTCTTTTAAAAGAACTTTCGGTATGGCTATCGGTAGGGCGCATGATTTTGTAATGTTAAGTTTATAATAGGAAACTACACTAAAAGATTGCAATGAAGATGACATTTCTGTAAGGGACTTCACAGGTTCAGTGACAGTAAGTATGACATCATCAGCGAATAAACCAATTTTATGGGAGGTATCCGCAGCTCGAATGCCCGAGATCTGTGGATTATCTCTTATCTCAGTTGCTAATGGTTCCATCACTAAGGAGAAGATAATGGGAGACAGTGGACAGCCCTGCCTTGTTGCATTTGTAATGCTGAAAGGTTTCGATAGGGCATTGGACGTAAATACCTGTGCGGTGGGAACAGTATAAAATGCCATAATAGCTGATTTTATAAATCTACTTATACCGAACTTGTTTAAAGTAGTTTCCAAATATTGCCAATGAACCGTCAAAGGCTTTCTCAGCATCCAAAGCCAAGAACACCACCTGGATTCCATGTATTTTTAAAGACATACAGTATATTTGAAAAATTTATTTTTAAAAATATTTTTCATATATTTTGTAATAAAAATGTATTTCAACATACAGTATATATATATATATATATTGATCTCTGAAAACCTATCTCTTCAGGGAAGCCTATCCTGCCCTCAGCTAACAATGGAATCTTCTACTCCTCCTATCAGTCCATCCCCCACAGTTACTACCTTTTGTACCACTAGCCCCTCTCTCTTAGATTGTAAGCTCTCAGGATCAGGGCCCTCCTATTCCTCTTGTATTGAACTGTATTGTTGCTGTATTGTCTCCCGTTATATTGTAAAGCGCTGAGCAAACTGTTGGTGCCATAAATCCTGTATAATAATAATAATAAAATATATATATATATATATATATATATATATATATGTTGCGTTTTTCATGTGTTTCTGCAATGCCTTTTTTTCAAGCAGCACCATTAAATTTTCAATGGGCCTCCCTCTGCTCCAAAAACACTTCAAAGAAGCTTGTGTATCAAATTTTTGTATTTGGCTTAGCATTTTTGTCGTATGGCAAAACCACACCATGTTTAGGGTGCCATTCAGAAATAATGGCACCTCAAGAACGTTGCATTTTGATGTGATTCTGGAATCGCAGGTAGAATTGTACAATTCTGTTAGATATTCTAATACTATCAAGTGTGAATGGAGCCTAGTTGCTGAATGAATGTGAAAACTGCTCTAGTGTATGTACGGGTGTCTGAGCTGATGCAATTATTAACACTCTCTTGTGACAATCTTGTTCACAGATGACCCATCAAAAGAATCAAACACTTGCAGCTGAAATTTTGATTGTTGGATTTGAATACCTCATTGCCTACAGAATTCCGTATTTCCTTTTCTTATTGGTCATCTACACATTGACCTGCTTTGAGAACCTGCTGGTCATCTTTTTGGTTAATAAAAGCCCTCACCTCCACTCCCCCATGTACTTCCTGATCAGTAACTTGCTCTTCGTTGGATTTGTTTACACCGCAAATCTGGTTCCACGGATGCTGCATGACCTACTCTCGGGAAGAGGGGTCTTCTCCTTACTTGGCTGTATTATCCAATTAAATGTGATGGGAGGTGTATCAAATGTGGAGTCTCTCCTGCTTACATTAATGTCCTATGACAGATTTTTGGCCATTTGTCACCCTCTGAGATATTCCGCTCTCATGCATACTAGACTGTGCCTGTATTTAGTGATTGGGTTTTGGTTGATTTCCTCTGTGATTGTGGCAGCAATATGCTATTTCTTAATTAAAGTGGAATTTTGTGGCCCTGTTAGAATCAACCACTTCCACTGTGACTTCAACACCCTGATTCTGTTTGCCTGCTCAGACATAGCACCTCTTATGTTTCTTACCATCGTGGTCAGCACTATACTGTGTGCTACACCTTTTGTGGCGGTTGTTTTATCATACACCTTTATCATCATGGCCATCCTCAAGATAAAGTCATCCAAAGGAAGAAAGAAAGCCTTCTCCACCTGCAGCTCCCACCTAGTGGTCTCAGCTATATATTTTGCCATAATTTTTACTTTATACGTAGTGCCGAGGAGTAATAATTATTTCCAGGTCTATAAAGCAATGTCCTTTTTCTATTTATACATCATTCCACTGATAACCCCCATCATTTACACCCTAAGGAACCAGGATTTTCAAAAAGCACTACAGACCACAATGAGTGAAATGAAACAACATGTCATAAATGTTCATTTTTAATGTATTCCAACAATAAACTTTTGGGAAAAAAAAGTAAATTAGAACAATGTTTTATAATTTTACATTCCAGACTTGTATATGATAATTTTTTTTTTTTAAGAGGAACTGGAAGCTGTGCCCAAAAAAGGCAAGTATGGAAACCTTCTTGAGTTTGTTTGGTGTTCACTCCCATAACTTTTTCTTGAGTATTTTATTGTCATGCTATATGAGGTATATACTTGTATGTTTTATTTTCTCTTTTTGTATGCAGAAAATCTAAAAATAAAGAATTAAAAAAAAAATATAAAGACAGGTATGGCAAAGGACTAGTCACCGGTATTGGCTGTGGTCTCCATGCCGCTGAGTATGACAAAGGACTAGTCACCGGTATTGGCTGTGGTCTCCATGCCGTTGAGTATGACAAAGGACTAGTCACCGGTATTGGCTGTGGTCTCCATGCCGTTGAGTATGACAAAGGACTAGTCACCGGTACTGGCTGTGGTCTCCATGCCGCTGAGTATGTCAAAGGACTAGTCACCGGTACTGGCTGTGGTCTCCATGCCGCTGAGTATGACAAAGGACTAGTCACCGGTACTGGCTGTGGTCTCCATGCCGCTGAGTATGACAAAGGACTAGTCACCGGTACTGGCTGTCGTCTCCATGCCGCTGAGTATGACAAAGGACTAGTCACCGGTACTTTACTGTCGTCTCCATGCCGCTGAGTATGACAAAGGACTAGTCACCGGTACTGGCTGTGGTCTCCATGCCGCTGAGTATGTCAAAGGACTAATCACCGGTACTGGCTGTGGTCTCCATGCCGCTGAGTATGACAAAGGACTAGTCACCGGTACTGCCTGTGGTCTCCATGCAGCTCATATTTTCCCCAATAATGGCTTACAATGCCATGTTCTTCTTTATGTCTCTGTGTGAAGGTGGCCATCTCAATGGACTCTAGGACAGGGTTGTCCAACCTGCAGCCCAAGACAGCTATGAATGCGGCCCAACACATAATCGCAAACTTACTCAAAGTGGTTATAAAGGCTCAAGGTTTTTTTACCTTCATGCATTCGATGCATGAAGGTAAATCACCTTCAGTGTGCAGCAGCCCCCCAATACTTACCTGAGCCAATCCAGGCATGTGCATGAGAACCTTGGCTGTCCCTGGTCCCTTCCTCCTCATTGGATGAGACAGCAACAGGAGCCATTGGCTCCCACTACTGTAAACCATAGCCAGTAAGCCAATGAGGAGAAAGAGGGAGGTGGGGCTGAGCTGCAGCTCGAAAGTGAGTGTGCTCAGATGCCCCTATAGCAAGCTGCTTGCTGTGGGGGCACTTGGCAGGAGGGAGGGTCCAGGAGTGCTGGTGGGGGACCTAAGGAGAGGAGGATCAGAGATGCTCTGTGCTCAGTGTTTTTTTTTTTATCTGCTTTTACAATCACTTTAAATATTTTTATTTTTTTGGACTTCTTTGTGAAAATGCATTTACACTTATGAACATACGCACCCAAAATTTTTTTTGACATTGTCCCTTTACTGGACATTTATAAGCTTTATCTTCCCAAAGAAAAATCTTCCATTCTTCACAATCAGGTCTTATTAATGTCATCGGTTTTGACAGCACCTATATTTGTGAGCAACTACTAATGATGACGCACATGAAGGGCAAAATTAGAATGAAAATATCTGATGAACACCTTGAGAATTAATTGAGAATAGCTACTCCATCTATCCAACCGGATATTGTTGCGTTAGTTTATCAAAAACAGTATAAAATATCGCACTCATTTTATGTTCACTCAGATTTTATTTATTGACCCATGCAGGGTCTAAAAGACCCCCAATGTCTCCTCTGGCCTCCACTCAATGCATTGTGATGCAGACCTCACTGCAATACATTGCTCCTCAGCTGTGCTTGCTTAGAAAGTGACAGCCGTGACCCAGAAGTGACTTCACACGTTGCTTTACAGGTTACAGACAGAAGCGGAGGGGAGCTCCACCCTCTGGTACCCACCATGGCACTCCCCGGGCCCACAGATGGGCAAGCAGGGCCCAGATACATGGTAGGAGTGCTTGTAGGGGGAGCCCATTACCGGGGGCTGTCGAAGCAATCAGGCAGCAGCGACTGCTTCCACCATGTGTATAAATCCCCTGCTGTCAGGATTAATGTTAATATATACCCCCACGGTCACTGTTGCATTTAGGAAGAACAAGCAGAGCCAATGCCCTCTCCACCGGTCTAGCGTATCTCCACTACCTCACACGCAGTAACAGAATGGGAACCAGCCGTGCGCCTAGCACACTTCCTTAATTCTTCCTCTCCTGTACGTGTGCACAGGTTGGAGACCTCTGAGGAGCAGATCTGATCCTGTTGCTATGGGAGATGGACCACTCATGGAAAGTGTGCCAGCAACAACTTCCTCTTTCAAGAGGCTATCCCACCTATCACAGACAACCACATACGATAGGTCGCAGGTGAAACCTTTTTTACCCTTGGTAATCACTTGCTTTACTCCACACCATGTTACCTCTTATGGAGTTGTCTTCATACCCCAGTATGCTTAACTGGCACACGCTGTAGACTATGTATGTGGTGTCGATTACTTGCATTACACCCTTTTAGTAAATCCAGTCCAGACCAAGATAAAGTTTCCGGGCTTTACCTAAAATAATTTTGACGATAACAGTCTTTCCCTAGTCCCTAGCTCAGACTTGTGGCTGCCCCAGCATACCTGCACAGGATGAGAATTCATTAAGGCAGATCTGCAGGACTGGTATCTTTGGGTAATTTGTCAATCTCAGTAGTCCCTTACTCTGTACAGGCTATTTATCCATAGATGGTGCGGATTCGGCAGTAGTCTGGATGAAAGAGATCCAGCAGCAGCAACATGTCTTATACTGTGCGCACACCCCAGTATCAGTCCCCTGTCCCAATTTATACAGCACAGGACCAGTGGGCTGGACCCAAGAAAACCCACCAAGAAAGACTGGGAAGCAAGTTAACTCTAACCCTCCTGGCTGAGGCAGCACTAAACTAAACCTGCTTACATGTGGACGGCTTTGCAGTGGATTCTTAGCATTTAGAATTTTAATTGTTGGGTAATCAGAAGGCGGTTGAGGGATTGATAGAGAGAGGTAGTGGATACTGAACAGTTGGTGAGATAGATGAGTCTGGTAACAGCATTCTCGATGGACTGAAGTGAATGTAGAGGTAGATCAATGAGGAGGGAGTTGCAGTAGTCAAGACAAGATATAACCAGGGAATGAATTATTAACTTTGTGATGTCATTGATGAAGAAGAAGGGGGGTATTTTGGAGATGTTACAGGTTAAGGAGGCAAATTCAACATTGATTGTGGGGTTGAAAGGAGAGGTCACTCATACTTGTGGCCTTGATCTTGAAGGCCTCAAGAAGTCAGGTGAGGTGCGGGGGGAGCTCAGTTTTAGAAAGATTTGATTTGTAACAGTGAGTGAAGTAGTGATGCTCAAGGAGACTGACTGGCTGAGCAGAGGAGTAGAGCGATAGAGTTTGCTAACCCATGGAGAAAGTGTAGATAGAGGATAAACGAAGTCCAAGGATGGTCTATAATCTGTTTAATCACTGACAAAAATATCTGACAGGGTTTCCAGTCTTCCTTTTTTTATTTCTGTGTTCTGCTGTTGGAGAGCAACATGTCACAATAGCTCCACAAGGCATGTAACCTGCACTGCTGCCCATTATCAGAACATAATAGTGGAGCTGGATCCTAAACTGTTTTTGGTCCACAACACGATAGTGGAGCTGGATTCTATCCAATTTTGGTCCACAACATGATAGTGTAGCTGGATCTTAAGCTGTTTTTGTTCTACAACACTATAGTGGAGCTGGATCTCAAACCGTTTTGGTCCACAGCATGATAGTGAAGCTGGATCCTAAACTGTTTTTAGTTTACAACATGATAGCGGAGCTGGATCCTAAACTGTTTTTGGTCCACAACACGATAGTGGAGCTGGATCTTAAACCGTTTTGGTCCACAACATGATAGTGAAGCTGGATCCTAAACTGTTTTTGGTCTACAACACAAGAGTTGAGCTGGATTCTAAACTGTTTTTGGTTTACAACAAGAAAGTGAAGCTGGATCCTAAACTTTTTTTGGTTTACAACACGATAGTGGAGCTGGATCCTAAACAGTTTTTGGTTTACAACACGATAGTGGAGCTGGATCCTAAACTGTTTTTGGTTTACAACACAATAGTGGAGCTGGATCCTAAACAGTTTTTGGTTTACAACACGATAGTGGAGCTGGATCCTAAACTGTTTTTGGTTTACAACACAATAGTGGAGCTGGATCCTAAACAGTTTTTGGTTTACAACACGATAGTGGAGCTGGATCCTAAACTGTTTTTGGTTTACAACACAATAGTGGAGCTGGATCCTAAACTTTTTTTGGTTTACAACACGATAGTGGAGCTGGATCTTAAGCCGTTTTGGTCCACAACATGATAGTGGAGCTGGATCCTAAACTTTTTTTGGTCTACAACACAAGAGTTGAGCTGGATTCTAAACTATTTTTGGTCCACAACATAATAGTCATGCTGGATCCTAAACTGTTTTTGGTCTACAACACGATAGCGGAGCTGCACCCTAAACTGTTTTTGGTTCACAACACGATAGTGCAGCTGGATTCTAAACTGTTTTGGTTTACAAGATGATAGCGGAGTTGAATTCTAAACTGTTTTTTGTCAACAACACAATAGTAGATCTGGATTCTAACCTGTTTTGGTCCACAACACGATAATAGAACTGAATCTTACATTTTTTTGATCTGTGATGGGAAGTGAATGCTGTATGCACAAAAAAGGTTAGCAGAGGATAGATACTTTCAAACAGCTTTTGAGTATGACCTGACAGCATGGTCTCCAAACTACTACCCAAGGGCTGGATGTAGCCCTTTGGGCACTATTCCTAGTATAGGGCACTAACTTCTGCCATTGACACCAAGGATGGGTAATATTTTTTTTGTCCATTCTGATACTTTCAATTAGAGATGAGCGAAGTATTCAAAAATTCGATTCGACTGATTCGGCGAATTCGTGGAAAAATTTCGATTCGAGTCGAATATATTCGCTGCGAATTTAACTTATAAAAGGGTGTTTCTAGGCTTCAGAGAGCCTTTATATTAGTGCAGAACACTGTACCTTTAATTTAAATGCCCTTGGAGTCTGCTGGGGAAGAGAAATAATACTGTCAGTCAGTATGACATGCAGATGAGTGCCGTCGATCTTAGAATCATCACCGCACACTTCACTCATTTGGGCAGTCACGGGGCCAAAACCAGAGTGTGGAGCCACAGTGTGGCGGTGGAGGCAGCAGCAATGGGAGGCCATACAGCACCCTATGACAAAAATGGAAACCACCAGCAGTGTGAGGAGACCTGAAAGTGGCACATGGCAGAGTGTGGCGATGGAGACAGCAGCAATGGGAGGCCGTACAGGGACCCATGACACACTCTGGACCTGGCAGCAGCATGAGGAGGCGGTACAGGGGGCCCATGCAGATTACGGGCCTGGCAGCAGCATGAGGAGTTGGTACGGAGGCCCATGGCAGATTACGGGCCTGGCAGCAGCATGAGGAGTTGGTACGGGGGCCCATGACACACTCTGGACCTGGCAGCAGCATGAGGAGGCGGTACAGGGGCCCATGACAGATTATGGGCCTGGCAGCAGCATGAGAGAGTCGGTACGGGGGCCCATGACACACTCTGGACCTGGCAGCAGCATGAGGAGGCGGTACAGGGGCGCATGACAGATTACGAGCCTGGCAGCAGCAACTTGGACAGGAGGACGTTCAGCTTCTGCACCGTCGGGTGCGTGCTCGCAAACTGTTGTCTCTTGGAAACGGATTCCAAGAAAGACTGCTGACGGAATCCGTGAAGAGGAGTAGCAGGAGAAGGAGCATCTGAACGAGCGGAATATGCCAACAAGCACAACAACAGGGGCCCATGACAGATTACGTGCCTGGCAGCAGCAGCATGAGGAGTCGGTACGGGGGCCCATGGCAGCTTACGGGCCTGGCAGCAGCAATGGGAGGCCCGTAATCTGCCAGCACCCTATGACAAAAAATGGAACACACCAGCAGTGTGTGAGAGACCTGAAAGTGGCACATGGCAGAGTGTGGCGATGGAGACAGCAGCAATGGGAGGCCGTACAGGGACCCATGAGAGACTCTGGACCTGGCAGCAGAATGAGGAGGCGGTACAGGGGCCCATGGCAGATTAGGGGCCTGGCAGCAGCTATGGGAGGCCCGTAATCTGCCAGCACCCTATGACAAAAAATGGAACACACCAGCAGTGTGTGAGGAGACCTGAAAGTGGCACATGGCAGAGTGTGGCGATGGAGACAGCAGCAATGGGAGGCCGTACAGGGACCCATGAGAGACTCTGGACCTGGCAGCAGCATGAGGAGGCGGTACAGGGGGCCCATGGCAGATAGGGGCCTGGCAGCAGCTATGGGAGGCCCGTAATCTGCCAGCACCCTATGACAAAAAATGGAACACACCAGCAGTGTGAGGAGACCTGAAAGTGGCACATGGCAGAGTGTGGCGATGGAGACAGCAGCAATGGGAGGCCGTACAGGGACCCATGAGAGACTCTGGACCTGGCAGCAGCATGAGGAGGCGGTACTGGGCCCATGGCAGATTAGGGGCCTGGCAGCAGCTATGGGAGGCCCGTAATCTGCCAGCACCCTATGACAAAAAATGGAACACACCAGCAGTGTGAGGAGACCTGAAAGTGGCACATGGCAGAGTGTGGCGATGGAGACAGCAGCAATGGGAGGCCGTACAGGGACCCATGAGAGACTCTGGACCTGGCAGCAGCATGAGGAGGCGGTACAGGGGCCCATGGCAGATTAGGGGCCTGGCAGCAGCTATGGGAGGCCCGTAATCTGCCAGCACCCTATGACAAAAAATGGAACACACCAGCAGTGTGAGAGACCTGAAAGTGGCACATGGCAGAGTGTGGCGATGGAGACAGCAGCAATGGGAGGCCGTACAGGGACCCATGAGAGACTCTGGACTTGGCAGCAGCATGAGGAGGCGGTATACAGGGGGCCCATGGCAGATTAGGGGCCTGGCAGCAGCTATGGGAGGCCCGTAATCTGCCAGCACCCTATGTCAAAAAATTGAACACACCAGCAGTGTGTGAGGAGACCTGAAAGTGGCACATGGCAGAGTGTGGCGATGGAGACAGCAGCAATGGGAGAGGCCGTACAGGGACCCCCATGAGAGACTCTGGACCTGGCAGCAGCATGAGGAGGCGGTATAGGGGCCCATGGCAGATTAGGGGCCTGGCAGCAGCTATGGGAGGCCCGTAATCTGCCAGCACCCTATGTCAAAAAATTGAACACACCAGCAGCAGTGTGAGGAGACCTGAAAGTGGCACATGGCAGAGTGTGGCGATGGAGACAGCAGCAATGGGGCCGTACAGGGACCCATGAGAGACTCTGGACCTTGGCAGCAGCATGAGGAGGCGGTATAGGGGCCCATGGCAGATTAGGGGCCTGGCAGCAGCTAATGGGAGGCCCGTAATCTGCCAGCACCCTATGACAAAAAAAATGAAACACACCAGCAGTGTGAGGAGACCTGAAAGTGGCACATGGCAGAGTGTGGCGATGGAGACAGCAGCAATGGGAGGCCGTACAGGGACCCATGAGAGACTCTGGACCTGGCAGCAGCATGAGGAGGCGGTACAGGGGCCCATGGCAGATTAGGGGCCTGGCAGCAGCTATGGGAGGCCTGTAATCTGCCAGCACCCTATGACAAAAAATTGAACACACCAGCAGTGTGTGAGGAGACCTGAAAATTGGCACATGGCAGAGTGTGGCGATGGAGACAGCAGCAATGGGAGGCCGTACAGGGGACCATGATGAGAGACTCTGGATTTGGCAGCAGCATGAGGAGGCGGTGTAGGGGCCCATGGCAGATTAGGGGCCTGGCAGCAGCTATGGGAGGCCCGTAATCTGCCAGCACCCTATGTCAAAAAATTGAACACACCAGCAGTGTGAGGAGACCTGAAAGTGGCACATGGCATGAGACACTGTGGACCTGGCAGCAGCATGAGGAGGCGGTATAGGGGCCCATGGCAGATTAGGGGCCTGGCAGCAGCTATGGGAGGCCCGTAATCTGCCAGCACCCTATGACAAAAAATGGAACACACCAGCAGTGTGAGGAGACCTGAAAGTGGCACATGGCAGCAGAGTGTGGCGATGGAGACAGCAGCAATGGGAGGCCGTACAGGGACCCATGAGAGACTCTGGACTTGGCAGCAGCATGAGGAGGCGGTATATAGGGGCCCATGGCAGATTAGGGGCCTGGCAGCAGCTATGGGAGGCCCATAATCTGCCAGCACCCTATGACAAAAAATGGAACACACCAGCAGTGTGAGGAGACCTGAAAGTGGCACATGGCAGAGTGTGGCGATGGAGACAGCAGCAATGGGAGGCCGTACAGGGACCCATGAGAGACTCTGGACTTGGCAGCAGCATGAGGAGGCGGTATAGGGGCCCATGGCAGATTAGGGGCCTGGCAGCAGCTATGGGAGGCCCGTAATCTGCCAGCACCCTATGACAAAAAATGGAACACACCAGCAGTGTGAGGAGACCTGAAAGTGGCACATGGCAGAGTGTGGCGATGGAGACAGCAGCAATGGGAGGCCGTACAGGGACCCATGAGAGACTCTTGACTTGGGCAGCAGCATGAGGAGGGTATAGGGGCCCATGGCAGATTAGGGGCCTGGCAGCAGCTATGGGAGGCCCGTAATCTGCCAGCACCCTATGACAAAAAAATGGAACACACCAGCAGTGTGTGAGGAGACCTGAAAGTGGCACATGGCAGAGTGTGGCGATGGAGACAACCCACCGACTGTTTTGCTCGCTGCCAAGCTGCCACCCTCTTCTCCTGATGATGCGGAAGCAATAGCCTGATGACGACGAGGCTGCCAAGTGCGATCAGCCTCATCATCATCAATTAGGGTCTCCGCCTCACTACTAGCCCCCTCGGCTGCGTGTGGGTCAGGAGACAGACCTGTCTCTACCGAGCCACTCTCCTCGCCACTACTTCTTCGCCTGGCTGCTGAAGAGGCGGATGTCCCCCCGTTCCTGACCGCCCTCTGTTAGCTCTTCCTCACTGTACTGGATGACACCGGGAGCACTGGCCTCTGGCTGCGAATAGTGCTGCCTCGACCCCTTCCTCTGCTGCCACGTCTGCTCACTCCTAAAACATTGCCTCCTCTGCCACTCCTCTGCATGTTGTCTCACATACTCTTTAATTAAACGATTCTGTGTCCCTGAGTAACAATTCTGTGTCTGTCCCTGAGTAACAATTCTGTGTCCCTGAGTAACGTTTCTGTGGCCCTAAGTAACAGTTCTGTGTCCCTCAGTAACAATTCTGTGTCCCTCAGTAACAATTCTGTGTCCCTGAGTAACAATTCTGTGTCTGTCCCTGAGTAACAATTCTGTGTCTGTCCCTGAGTAACAATTCTGTGTCTGTCCCTGAGTAACGTTTCTGTGGCTCTAAGTAACAGTTCTGTGGCCCTCAGTAACAATTCTGTCTGTCCCTGAGTAACAATTCTGTGTCTGTCCCTGAATAACAATTCTGTGTCCCTCAGTAACAATTCTGTGTCCCTGAGTAACAATTCTGTGTCCCTGAGTAACAATTCTGTGTCCCTCAGTAACAATTCTGTGTCCCTCAGTAACAATTCTGTGTCCCTCAGTAACAATTCTGTGTCTGTCCCTGAGTAACAATTCTGTGTCTGTCCCTGAGTAACAATTCTGTGTCCCTGAGTAACGTTTCTGTGGCCCTAAGTAACAGTTCTGTGGCCCTCAGTAACAATTCTGTCTGTCCCTGAGTAACAATTCTGTGCCTGTCCCTGAGTAACAATTCTGTGTCCCTCAGTAACAATTCTGTGTCCCTCAGTAAAAATTCTGTGTCCCTCAGTAACAATTCTGTGTCCCTCAGTAACAATTCTGTGTCCCTGAGTAACAATTCTGTGTCCCTGAGTAACAATTCTGTGTCCCTCAGTAACAATTCTGTGTCCCTGAGTAACAATTCTGTGTCTGTCCCTGAGTAAGAATTCTGTGTCTGTCCCTGAGTAACAATTCTGTGTCCCTTAGTAACGTTTCTGTGGCCCTAAGTAACGTTTCTGTGGCCCTAAGTAACGATTCTGTGTCCCTAAGTAACGTTTCTGTGGCCCTAAGTAACGATTCTGTGTCCCTAAGTAACGTTTCTGTGGCCCTAAGTAACGTTTCTGTGGCCCTCAGTAACAAATCTGTGTCCCTCAGTAACAATTCTGTGTCTGTCCCTAAGTAACAATTCTGTGGCCCTAAGTAACGTTTCTGTGGCCCTAACTAACGATTCTGTGGCCCTAAGTAACGTTTCTGTGGCCCTCAGTAACAAATCTGTGTCCCTCAGTAACAATTCTGTTTCTGTCCCTAAGTAACAATTCTGTGGCCCTAAGTAACAATTCTGTGGCCCTAAGTAACGTTTCTGTGGCCCTAAGTAACAATTCTGTGTCCCTCAATAACAATTCTGTGTCTGTCCCTAAGTAACAATTCTGTGGCCCTAAGTAACGTTTCTGTGGCCCTAAGTAACGATTCCGTGGCCCTCAGTAACAAATCTGTGTCCCTCAGTAACAATTCTGTGTCTG